TTTTTAGAAAAGAGAATCAACGAAACGGAATACAAAGCAATGCACATCAATGCAAAAGAATTCCAACAACGCAAAGCGATGCAAAGCAATGCAAAGCGATGCAACGCCATACATAGCAATGCCAAGCCATGCAAAGCCATGCAAAGCCATGCGAAGCCATGCAAAGCTATAGAATATGAGGAAAAACGATGAAATATGATCGACCCACGAACCCGGAAAGGAATATAGAAATGTAACGCATGGCAGCGTTTTCAAAGACACCTGATTGGGTGACGGGCAAGTGCAATGCTGATTGTATCGATCTTGATGTACGGTGCCGAGGGCTGTGCTGTGCTGCACCGTGCTGAATTGCGATGTGCCATGCCGCGGTTGTGCTCTATAGCGTCGTGGACCGAGTCCTCCTTTGCATCCGAGTCCTGACCGAACTGATCTGGATCTTAAGCTCGAGCTGCCTGAACACATAGTATCTGCCCCAGAGCTAATTGACAAGGGGGCATGCCAGGAGGACGCGCCGCGAAACGTCCCGAGGGACGCGCCAGGGGACGTGCCATGGGGTCGCACCGTAGGACGTGCCAAAGGGACGCGCTACGGAACGTGCCAATGGATGGGCCACGGAATGTGCCAGGGGACGCGCCACGCGACGTGCCAGGGGGACTCGCCAAGGGACGCCCCACGGAACGTGCCAAGGAACGTGCCAAGTTGCAATGCTGATTGTATCGATCTTGATGCACCGTGCCGAAGTCTGTGCTGTGCTGCACCGTGCTGAATTGCGATGTGCAATGCCGCGGTTGTGCTCTATTGCGTCGTGGATCGAGTCCTCCTTTGCATCCGAGTCCTGACCGAACTGATCTGGATCTTAAGTTCGAGCTGCCTGAACACATAGTAGCTGCCCCAGAGCTAATTGACAGGGGGGCATGCCAGGAGGACGCGCCGCGAAACGTCCCAAGGGACGCGCCAGGCGACGTGCCAGGGGACGTGCCATGGGGTCGCACCGTAGGACGTGCCAAAGGGACGCGCTACGGAACGTGCCAATGGATGTGCCACGGAATGTGCCAGGGGAAGCGCCACGCGACGTGCCAGGGGGACTCGCCAAGGGACGCCCCACGGAACGTGCCAAGGAACGTGCCAAATTGCAATGCTGATTGTATCGATGTTGATGTACCGTGCCGAAGTCTGTGCTGTGCTGCACCGTGCTGAATTGCGATGTGCCATGCCGCGGTTGTGCTCTATAGCGTCGTGGATCGAGTCCTCCTTTGCATCCGAGTCCTGACCGAACTGATCTGGATCTTAAGCTCGAGCTGCCTGAACACATAGTATCTGCCGCAGAGCTAATTGACAGGGGGACATGCCAGGAGGACGCGCCGCGGAACGTCTCAAGGGACGCGCCAGGCGACATGCCAGGGGACGTGCCATGGGGACGCACCGCGGGACGTGCCAAGGGGACGCGCTACGGAACGTGCTGGGGACAAGCGTTTCGCTCGAGACATCCTGTCAAAATCCTCATTCTAGACATCCGCCCGAGCGACCTGGACACGTGAAAACAAACGCTTCGCTCAACACATCCTCAACACATTCTCATGCTAGGCATCCGCCTGGGCGAACTGGACACGTGAAAACAAGCATTTCGCTCGAGACATCCTCAGCACATCTTCATGCGAGACGTCCGCCTGGGTGACCTGGGCACGTGAAAACAAGCGTTTCGCTCGAGACGTGTTCAACACCTCCTCATTCTAGACATCCGCCTTGGCGACCTGTACACGTGAAACCAAACGTCTCACTCGAGACATGCTCTACACATCTTCATGTTGGACATCCGCCTGGGCGACCTGGACACGTGAAAACAAGCATATCTCTCGAGACATTCTCAACACATCCTCATGCTAGGTATCCGCCTGGGCAACCTGGACACATGCAAACAAGCATCTCGATCGAGATTTCCTCAACACCTCCTCATTCTAGACATCCGCCTGGGCGACGAGGACGCGTGAAACCAAGCGTCTCGCTCGAGACAACCTCAACAAATCCTGGCGCTTGACCTCTGCCTAGGCAACCTGGAGGCGTGAAACCAAGCGTCTCGCTCGAGACATCCTCAAGACCTGGGCACGTGAAACCAAGCATTTCACTTGAGAGTCCTCTAAATTCTGGTCCCCAGGAGAGGACAATCTATAACACAAAACAAGCGTTTCGCTCGAGACATCCTCAACAAATTCTGAAAAGCAGCGTTTCGCTCGAGACATCCTCAAAGTTTAATTCGCCGGCCCTCTTCCCACTCGTTATTTATCGCAAAAGAAATCCGCCGGCCCTCTCTCTGTGAGATCCGGGGGTAAACAGCTAAAAGAGAACCCTGGGCCTGGGCCCTTTCCGGGAAAAACACTGAAAAGCAATGCAAAGCAATGACATGAAATGAAAGGCAACGCCAAGCAGCGCCAAGCAATGACAAAGCAATGACGAGCAATGCAACGCAATGCAACGCATGCAACGCAATGAAAAGCAATGAAAAGCCATGCAAAGCCATGCACAGCAATGCACAGCAAAGCAATGCACAGCAATGCAATGCAATGCAATGCAATGCAATTCAGCGCAACGCAACGCGAGTGCATTACAACGGGGGGCTGCAACGGGGAGGGGTGCAACAGGGCGGCGGCGACGGGCGAGACTTCGGAAAAAAACTGAGGCGGCGACGGACGGGAACCGGGGCCGCGGGGGCGGCCAACTGGCCCAAAGGGGGCGGCGACGGACGGGAACGGGGCCACCAGGGCGGCCAACGGGCCCAGATGAGGCGGGGACGGACGGGAACGGGGCCGCCCGGACGGCAAGCGGGCCCAGTTCCTTGGAACGGAAATAGGAAGCCCTGAGTGCAAGCTCTGTTTGGGGAGTATGCACATGACACACCCACCCCCATGCATACCCTCTCCTCCCAGCGCCCCACCCCTTTCCACCACCGCGTCCTTCCAATTGCTGCCCTGACGACCACCAGCAATCATTTCGAAGGTACGTCTCGTGTGATGCTACGTACAGTCTGCACCAAAACAAGGATGGAGTCCACAAGTTCCTCCATCATACTTATCGCTCTGGCTTTGAAGCGGGGCTGGGTCGACAAGCCCTCACCGTCCAACTCTCGGAATGCGCACCGATCACCACGTGCAGCAGCGCGCCAGATGCTCATCTCCTGACTGCCCGTTCCTGCTGCCTGAGCCTAACAAGAGAAAGAAGCACGGAGGCCTCGCAGATTCGTCGAACACCGCAGAATCTGCCTGAATGCTGACGGGTTTCGCGAGAATGCAACTGCATTTCTGGCAGCACGCATACTTCACGGCGTCCGTCTGGTCCAACGCCGCTCGCCCCCCGTCTCGTCTCTTTTACCCTTTCGTGCATCGCCAACTGCTGTTGCTCCTGACTCCTCACCTTCAGGCTGCTGTTCCCAGGTGGCGAGAATAGGACGATAATGGTGTCATGATGCGACTGGCTCATGATACGTTCCGGAATTTCTGGGGTATCTAGCGGATCTCGTTTCTCTAGCCCGTGCGGAGCACGAGAGAGTCTGAGAAATCCTGGAAATCTGGAAACGTACCATAGTCATGACCACGCCCACCCACCCCCCCTCTCGCGCCTGAAGTGAGCCCTCGACGACGCTGGAGTCCTGGGCTGCTGCGCAGGCGCCGACGAGGTCTGCTAACCGAGGGGCCGAAAGCTATGCTGGTGGTGGGGGGGAAGGCGGACACGACGAGCGCATCTGCGCGCGTAGACTATATGGACACTGGCCTTCGGCATGGCGTACAGTCGGACCGAGGCCAGAAAAACATCCCTCAAGAACATGAGACCCTCCGTCGGCCAAAACAAACAGAGCATACAAGGGTACCCTCTCCAGGATACACGAGAGCAGCCAGCAAGCACAGAGAACACTAGGGTACACACCCCGGAACGACCTCGATCTTATACCTCGGTCCGACCGTAGCTCATAACGGTGCACTCTTCTTGCCTCCGGAGGCTGCTTGAAAAGACAGGGGGCGCACCGTGGAAGTCCTTGGCCAGCTCTTGGCGTTACAGGAACCCTCGAGGACCACCACCACCAGCCAGGAACAGCCGAGGGCTCGCCCTGGAAGGCCCGAAACGATCAAAACGATCGAACGCGCTCTAAACTGGTCCTCAACAACACATCCTAAACATGCGATGAGAGGAGCATGAGGCGAGCACAAAATATACGGACAGCTGATGGGGTGTCGAAGGGAAGCTCGAAGGAAAGTTCTATGAAATTCTGGGGGGTATTTTAGTGATGCCGGGGTGAAATTGAACACGAGGCCAAGAGTTGAACAGGAGCCTCGAGAGAAGGCGAAAGACAAACTGGTAGGCGAGAGGGAGGCTGACAAGGATGGCACATGTACATCTACATGTGTATCTACGGTATCCGCCACCGTACCGCAAGACACTGAAAGGAGAGTCCTCATGCTCCTTCGAGCCCTCAAAATTGAATGTTGGATAACCTTGATATCAGATCTGCAGGAAGAACTGATCTTCCAGACCCCGCGCTCCTGGACGTTTCTTGAGCTTACCGCGTGCCTTTTCTAAGGACTCGGGCGCGCAGTTCGGAATCCAAACTCCCAGCATGACCTACGATGCTCCCACGAGGCCGTCATGGTCCTCTCTTCGGAGCCTCTCGGGCCGTCTTGGAGGAGCTGAGGACTGGCCCAGGAGGCAAACTCTGTCAACAAACAGTAGCTGTTTGCATGATTTCCGCATTCTGGCATTCTCCCTCAAAGAGCGGCAACACCAGCCCAAGAGGCCATCGAGATCGCCCAAAGACGGCTCCCAGGCCTCCAAGATAGGTCCAAACGGACAGCAAGGAAGCCCCACGAGGGGCCAAGAAAGAAAGCTCGAAGGGGCCGTCCACCTTAAGAGGACCCCCGAGGCCGCATCCAGGCCCTGCAGAGGCGCCCCACGAGGCCGCAGGCGTCCCTGGGAGGTCTCCCGGAGGCCCCAAGAGCGTCTGGTTTATTGGATCGCCTCGCTCGCTCCGCGGGTCTTCATGGTGCCAGTGCTGGTGTGTTGCGTGCGCGGTCGTGGGCCGTGCGGCGCTGCTGACCCCGAGAGTGCTTTGTTCGATCCCCACCCATCCACCATTGCCACCTGCCGCGCCTCGAGACACCTCCAGAGGGCCTTGCATACAAACGCGCATGGCCAGCCCGTACTCATCGCACCCTCCCATTCGCCTCGCCCTTCACCTCCCGTCCATAATCGTGAGGTGCGGGCCACCGAACGTAACCCCGATGTTGGTAGTCGCCTGATCCCAGTTAACTTTCGCGAACAGCTCGTCCACGTTGTTCTGCCTGGCCACGAGGATAGCACGCTTCCCGTACGGCACGGACGTAAGCAGCTCCACGGCCATACCGTTGGGGCTCATGTCAGCGGCCAACCAAACCCAGCCCTTGCCATCGTCCACCACCTTTTGCAACTCATCCGCTCCGTAGCCCACGCCACCCTTGGTCACGAACATGGGGTTCTTCATCTGGTCCTTCAAGCTCTGAATGCCAACGGCGATGTCCTTCTTACCGATGTTGCCTGGGGGAGGCCCCTTCCACTGGCCAGAGTAGCGCTTGAAGCCCTGCTTCGTGAACTCCCCGTGGAAGAACTTCACGATCATCTCGGACACCGTGTTGCCCTTCGGGGGGTCGCCACCTTCACCAGTCGTGAGGTCTGCATAGAATTTTTCGATGTCGGCATCTGAGACATCGTACTCGCCACCACCGCGCGCGTGCAAGGCCGTCAGGCCCTGGAAACAGGGCGTCGGTCCCTGGGCAGACCTGGCCGTCGGAACGCCCACGAACGCAACCAGCAGCTGCGTTGCCGAGGACGTGGCAGCGGCAAGGACCAACAATGACAGGGTCTTGCGAGGCCGGGCCATGAGCACCTACTCTCAGAGCCCGTTTCGAGTAGAACAGCTTGAGCCAAAATGGCCTGAGCCAAAATGGCCACTGAGCAGGAGTCCCCGAGAGGCCTTCCAATGGACCCACAGGGGCCTGCGACATGCCTCCGGTCCACGACCTAGGCACGGTGGCAGGATGGGCCGAAGGCCACTGGATCCGCCGCCCCCTGCTTGCAGGGGTGCACGGCGTGCTGGATGATTCAGGTTTTGGTTTTGGTTCTTTTTCTAAAAGAACTCCCCAGTGGGCTTCGGCCCGTCCCGCCGGCCACCCGCGAATTTCCCAAAATCCATCTGTCAATGCCCAAAAACGGCCGTTTCGCTCGGGACATCCTCAAAAAATCGCGAAGATGGCCCAAGATGGCCTCCAAGTCCGCCCGAGATGGTCCAAGACGGCCTCCAAAACGGCCCAAGAGAGTCCAAGACGGCCCAAGACGGCCCAAGAGGCCCCCCAGAGGCCTCCCAGACGGCCCAAGAGGCCTCCAAGAGGTCCTCCAGGAGAGTCCGAAGAGGCCAAAATCATTGATTTTCCTTTGGTTTTTGAAGGATTTTGGCATTTGCGCCTTTTCGGCTCTCCGACGGCTCAAGACGGCCCAAGAAGCCCCCAAGATCGCCCAAGAGGCCCCCAAGAGAGCCCCATGATGGCCCAAGTGGCCTCCAAGATGGCCCCTAGAGGGCCCCAAGAGGGCCCAAGAGGCCTCCAACACGCCCAAGATGGCCTCCAAGACGCCCAAGATGGCCTCCAAGACGGCCCTGGAGCATTCCAAGCGGGCCCCAAGTCGGCCCATAGAGGCCCCCCAAACGGCTTCCGACGGCTTCAGACGTGCCAGGAACCCACCAAGATGGCCGAAGTTGGCTCGAAGCTGGCCCGAGACGGCCCAAAAAGCCCCAAAGATCGCCCAAAGCTTGCCCAAGAGGCCTCCAAGACGGCCAAGATGACCTTCAAGATGCCCACGTGTTCCCCGAAGGCTTTCCAAACCGATTCGGGGAACACGTGGTCCGATAGCTTGGCAGGTCTGGCCTCAACGTTCGGCCACATAGGCGCTTCCAAAAAGGCAGGGGGCGGCGGTGATTCGCCGTAGGCGTCTTCGATCCGCCGCCCCCTGTGGTCTTGCCACAGGGGTGCACGGCGTGCTGGACGTTTCAGGTTTTGGTTTTGGTTCTTTTTCTAAAAGAACTCCCCAGTGGGCTTCGGCCCGTCCCGCCGGCCACCCGTAAGTTTCCGAAAATCCATCTGTCAATGCCTTTGTTGCCCCAACTTGGCCCAAGATGGCCTCCAAGACGGCCAAGATGGCCCAAGATGGCCTCCAAGATGCCTCCAAGACGGCCAAGATGGCCTCCAAGACGGGTAAGATGGCTCCAAGATGCCTCCAAGACGGCCCAAGATGCCCTCCAAGACGGCCAAGATGGCCCCAAGATGCCTCCAAGATGGCCCAAGAGGCCTCCAAGACGTTCTCCAGGAGAGCCCGAAGAGGCCAAAATCATTGGTTTTCCTTAGGTTTTTGAAGGTTTTTTGCGTTTTCTTCTTTTCGGCCTTCCGACGGCCCAAGAGGCCCCCAAGATCGCCCAAGAGGCCTCCAAGAAGGCCCTATGACGGCCCAAGGGCCCCCCAAGACGGCCCCAAGAGCGCCCCAAGACGGCCCAAGAGGCCTCCAAGACGCCCAACATGGCCTCCAAGACGGCCCTGAAGCGCCCCAAGAGGGCCCCAAGACGGCCCAGAGAGGCCCCCAAGACGGCTCCAGACGGCGTCAGACGGACCAGGAACGCCCTAAGACGGCCAAAGAGACCCCCAGGAAGCCCCCAAAGGCCCCCAAGAGGCCCAAGGAGGCCCCCAAGATGCCTCCAAGAGGCCTCGAAGAGGCCCCCAAGAAGCCCCCAACAGACCCCAAGGGTGCCCCAAGAGACTCCTAACAACCCTCATCCTCCTACTCTATTTCTTCCTCTTCCTCTTCCTGTTCATAATCATTCTCTCCCATGTGTTCCCCGAAAGCTTTCCAAACCGACTCGGGGAACTCATGGTCCGATAGCTTGGCCAAGCTCTAGTCCAACTTTCGGCCACATCGGCGTTTCCAAAAAGGCAGGGGGCGGCGGTGATTCGCCGTAGGCGTCTTCGATCCGCCGCCCCCTGTCGATTCATCGCAGGGGTGCCTGGCGTGCTGGATCCTATCGGTTTTGGTTTGGGTTCTTTTTCCAAAAGAACTCCCCCTGGAGCGTCGGCCCGTCCCGCCACCGTGCCGTTCGCTCGGGACATCCTCTAAAAATCTTCCGGGACCCCAACGTGCACAACAAATCCTCGCTGAAACGGCCGTTTCGCTCGGGAAATCCTCAAAAAATCGCGAAGATGGCCCAAGATGGCCTCCAAGTCCGCCCAAGATGGTCCAAGACGGCCTCCAAGACGGCCCAAGAGAGTCCAAGACGGCCCAAGACGGCCCAAGAGGCCCCCAAGAGGCCTCCCAGACGGCCCAAGAGGCCTCCAAGAGGTCCACCAAGACAGCCGAAGAGGCCGAAATCATTAATTTTCCTGTGGTTTTTGAAAGATTTTGGAATGTGCGTCTTCTCGGCATTCCGACCAAGAGGCCCCTCAGAGGGCCCCATGACGGCCCAAGTGGCCTCCAAGACGGCCCCCAGAGGGCCCCAAGACGGCCAAAGAGGCCTCCAAGACGCCCAAGATGGCCTCCAAGACACGCCCACGTGTTCCCCGAAGGCTTTCCAAACCGATTCAGGGAACACATGGTCCGATAGCTTGGCAGGTCTGGCCTCAACATTCGGCCACATAGGCGCTTCCAAAAAGGCAGGGGGCGGCGGTGATTCGCCGTAGTCTTCGATCCGCCGCCCCCTGTCGATTCATCGCAGGGGTGCCTGGCGTGCTGGACCCTTTCGGTTTTGCTTGTGGTTTTTTCCGAAAGAACTCCCCCTGGGCCTTCGGCCCGTCCCGCCGGGGTCCCGGGAGATTGCCGAAAACCCGGTTGCAAAGGGTTTTTCCTGCTCCAGACGGCTCCAAGATGGCTCAAGATGGCCCCCAAGACGCCTCCAAGACGGCCAAGGTGGCCTCCAAGACGGCTAAGATGGCTCCAAGATGCCTGCATGACGAGCCAAGATGCACTCAACACGGCCTAAGATAGCCTCAACATGGCCCAAGAGGCCCCCCAGAGGTCTCTTGGACGGCCCAAGAGGCCTCCAAGAGGTCCTCCAGGAGGGCCCGAAGAGGCCAAAATCATTGATTTTCCTGACGGTTTTGAAGGATTTTCGCATTCGCTTCTTTTCGGCTTTCCGATGACCCAAAACGGCGCACGAGGCGCCCAAGATCGCCCCCACAGCGCCCAAGAGGCCTCCAACATGGCCTCAGGACTGCCCAAGAGGCCCCCAAGACGGCCCCAAGAGGGCACAAAGACGGCCCAGGAGGCCTCAAAGACGCCCAAGATGGCCTCCAAGACGGCCCTGGAGCACCCCAAGAGGGCCCCAAGTCGGCCCAGAGAGGCCCCCAAGACGGCTTCCGACGGCGTCAGACGGGCCAGGAGCCCACCAAGATGGCCGAAGTTGGCTCGCAGCTGGCCCAAGACGGCCCAAGAGGCCTCCAAGAGGGCCTCCAGGACAAAAGCATAGATTGTCCTGAGGTTTTTCGAAGGATTTTCACATTTGCTTCTTTTCGGCCTTTCGACGGCCCGGTACGGCCCAAGAGCACCCAAAGATCGCCCAAAGATCGCCCAAGAGGCCTCCAAGATGGCCCCAGAACAACCCAAGAGGACCCCAAGACGGCCCCAAGAGGCCCCCAAGACGGCCCAGGAGGTTCTTAAGACGCCCAAGATGGCCTCCAAGACGGCCCTGGAGCATTCCAAGAGGGCCCCAAGTCGGCTCAGAGAGGCTCCCCAAACGGCGTCCGACGGCGTCGGACGGGCCAGAGGCCCACCAAGACGGCCCAAGATGGCCTTAAGATTGCCCAAGACGGCCCAAGAGGCCTCCAAGAGGGCCTTCAGGAAGGCCCGAAAAGGCCAAATCATTGATTTCCCATGAGTTTTTGAAGGATTGTGGCATTTGCTTTTTTATTTTCTGTCTTCCGACGGCCCAAGACGGCCCCCAAAGATCGCCCAAGAGGCCCAAGACAGCCCCAAGAGGCCCCCAAGACGGCCCAAGAGGCCTCCAAGACGCTCAAGATGGCCTCCAAGACGGCCCAAGAGCCCTCCAAGACGTCCCCCAAGACGGCCCGAAAGGGTCAAAATGGCCTCCAGGCGGCCAAGATGACCTTCAAGAGGCCCACGTGTTCCCCGAAGGCTTTCCAAACCGATTCGGGGAACACATGGTCCGATAGCTTGGCAGGTCTGGCCTCAACGTTCGGCCGCATAGGCGCTTCGAAAAAGGCAGGGGGCGGCGGTGATTCGCCGTAGGCGTCTTCGATCCGCCGCCCCCTGTCGATTCATCGCAGGGGTGCCTGGCGTGCTGGACCCTGTCGGTTTTGGTTCTGGCTTTTTTTCCCAAAGAACTCCCCCTAGGGCTTCGGCCCGTCCCGCCAGCCACTTGAAAGGATGCCGAAAGATTGCCCAGAGGTGGTCGCAAAGGGATTTTCCTGCTCCAGGCGGCTCCAAGATGGCCCAAGATGGCCCCCAAGACGCCTCCAAGACGGCCAAGGTGGCCTCCAGGACGGCTAAGATGGCCCCAACATGCCTCCAAGACGGCCCAAGATGCACCCAAGACGGCCTAAGATGGCCTCAAGATAGCCCAAAACGGCCCAAGAGGCTACCAAGAGGGCTCCAAGACGGCCCAAGAGGCATCCAAAAGATCCTCCAGGAGGGCCCGAAGAGGCCAAAATATTGTATTTGCGACTTTTCGGCTTTCCGACGGCCCAAGACGGCGCACGAGGCGCCCAAGATCGCCCCACAGCGCCCAAGAGGCCTCCAAGATGGCCCCATGACGACCCAAGAGGCCCCCAAGACGGCCCCAAGAGGACACAAAGACTGGCCAATAGGCCTCCGAGACGCCCAAGATGGCCTCCAAGACGGCCCCGAAGCGCCCCAAGAGGGCCCCAAGTCGGCCCAGAGAGGCCCCCAAGACAGCTCCCGACGG